CTCTCTCTCTCACGCTGAAGACTGTTCTCAGGCAGATCCAACATTTAAGATTCAGAGCTGGAATAAAACGAGATATTCACTGACAACATAACCTATAACAATAGGAAGTTTACTCATTAATAGCCTGGGAAGGAAATTTAGCAAAACTACAGAACAAGTCCCTTAGGGTGCTGCTCCCTCCACCTCCACATTTGCCACAACGGTGGGCCCTGCATGAGAAGTGGGAAGTCCATGAAGCCTGAGGAGCCCCAATTACTTGCCTTTACAAAGGGGCTCAGCTCTTACACCTTGGGCAATTAGGAGGCTTTGTTAAATGTTTCAGCTTTAGTCCAACAAACCAGTAGAGTCTTGGGATGGTTTTATTGCCTTTGTAGAGAAAAACAAGCCAATGTGACATGTAGCCACATTGGAGCGTTCCTGTCCATAGGTCCCAACCAAATTAGAAGCTGTTCCTACCACACAGATGATAGACAAAGCAAAAAGTGAATATTGTCTCTGCTTTCTCCAAGATGGACAACATCTATGCATATGGGGCAGCTGAGGCACAGAATCGGCTTAGATTCAGGAGCATGGAAATTCAAATCCAGCTTCAGACACTTACTAGCTGTGAGACCCTAGACAAGTCACTTAACCTGTCTCAGTTTGTAAACTGTAAAATGGAAATAATAATAATAATAGTAATAATAATAATAGTAATAGTAATAATAATAATAACACTTATCTCTCAGGGTTGTTGTGAAAATCAAATGAAATCATATTTATTAAACTCTTAGCATAGTGCTGGGCACACAGTCAGCACCTAATTCAGGCTTATTCTCTCCCTTTCCTCTTTCATATGGAGATAATTTTTTAAAATTTTAAATGGATTTCATGGATGAGGAAACAGCTGATACTAATGAAGGGTTTTATATTTCACAAAATACTTTCTTCACAACCACCCTGTGACCATTTTAGAGATGAGGGAACTGAGGCCTGGGGAGATCAAACAGCTATAAAATGGCAGGGCCAATCATTTCTAAAATACATAGAGAACTAAAGACAAATTTATAAGAACACAAGCCATTCCCCAATTGATAAATGGTCAAAGGATATGGACAGTTCTCAGATGAAGAAATTAAAGCCATCTATAGTCATATGAAAAAATGCTCTAAATCGTTATTGATCAGAGAAATACAAATCAAAACAACTCTGAGGCACCACATCACACCTATCAGAATGGCCAATATGACAAAACAGGAAAATGATAAATGTTGGAGAGGATGTGGGAAAATTGTAACACTAATACATTGTTGGTGGAGTTGTGAAATGATCCAACCATTTTGGAGAACAATTTGGAACTATGCCCAAAGGGCTACAAAAATGTGCATACCCTTTGATCCAGCAATAGCACTTCTAAGGCTATATCCCAAAGAGACCAAACAAATGGGAAAAGGACCCACGTGTACAAAAATATTCATAGCAGCTCTTTTTGTGGTGGCAAAGAATTGGAAATTGAGAGGATGCACATCAATTGGGGAATGGCTGAGCAAGCTGTGGTATATGAATGTAATGGAATACTCTTGTGCTATAAGAGATGATGAGCAGGCAGATTTCAGAAAAACCTGGAAAGGCTTAGATGGTCTGATGGTGAGTGAAGTGAGCAGAACCCAAGAGGACTCTGTACACAATAACAGCCACATTATGTCATGACTAATATTGTTAAACTGAACCCTTCTCAGCGTTACAAGGATAGAAGACATCTCCAGAGGCCTCGGGATGGATAATGCTGTCCACATCCAAAGAAAGAACTATGCCAAGTCAAATCACTATCACTTATTTTTACCTCCTGTTCAGTTTTGTTTCATCTTTCTGATGGTTCCTCCTATTGGTTTTAATTTTTACTTACAACTTCACTAATGTGAAAATATGTTTAATAGGAATGTAAATGTAAAGCCTATATCAGCTTGTGCGCCGTCTTGGGGAGGATAGGGAGGAGGAAGGGGGAGAAAAATTTTCAACTCAAAAGCATATGGAAGTGATTGTAGATAAATCAAAATAAATTAATAAAATTAAAAAAAATGGCAGGGCCAAGATCTGAACCTAGGTTTAATCCAAATCTGATGTTGTTCTGGTATTCTCAGCACAATGAAAGAAACTGCACATGGAAGCAGGGAGAGTCTATTCAAAACAGAGCCCCTGCCCTGATTTCTACCACAACAACTGAATCTACAATAACATCAACAACATCGACTACTGACATTCACAGGGGTGGGAGGACCAAAAGATTTAGAGCTAGAGCAGACTGTGGAGGCCATTTAAACTGCAAACTCCTTCAGTTTAGAGATGAAGAAACTGAGGCCCAGGGAGATTAAGGTCATACAGAACCGTGACTTGAACCCAGGTCTTCTAACTACATGAGGAGCCAAGGTTTTTTATGCCACAATACTTTATATATTCTCTCTTCTGATCCTCAAGTCAAAACTGTGAGGTATACAGTACAGATATCCTCATGCCTATTTTCAGATGAGAAAACTGAGGCTCGGAAAGGGTGCTTATTCAAGGTCACACAGATAGTAAATGCAAAAGCCAGTATTCAAGTCTAGGTCTTCTGACTCAAAATAAAAAACACTAGCAAATGTTCTACAACTACCAACGAATAAGGGAAAGACAGACTCCTTCCTGAACATTTAAACTTAAAAAGGTCTCCCTATCAGCCTTCTGTGTTCAGTCCTTAGGGGGAGGGGAGATTTTGTTTCTTCTTCTGGCTATAGGGCAAAGTCATAGTTCCGCCCTTTTTGAAGGCTAAATTGGAAGGACATCCCTGGGATAAATTAGAATTTCCGACCAGACTATGCCTACCTCTTGGCACTGTCTCCTGTATTATCATCTCTAGATGAGGAATCCTTTTAACGATGACTTTCAATCCTTCCCACAGGACAGCTAGCTGGTATGGTAGAGAACTGGGTTTGGGGTCAGGAAGACCTAAGTTCAAATCCAGCCTCAGACACTTACTAAGCTGTATGACCCTGAATAAGAGTCACTTATTTGTCACAGTTTCCCTCATCTGCAAAATGGGGACAATAATACCTACCTCTCAGGGTTTTTGTGAATACCAATTAAGATGGTATTTGAAAATCACTTAGAACAGTGCCTGGAACTTAATAGGCACTATATAAATTTTAGGTGGTAGTGGTGGTGGTAGCAGCAAGAAGAGGACAAGGAGGAGGAGAACTAAATGGGGTTAATAATAGCATCTACCTCCCAGAGTTGTTATAAAAAATCAAATAAGGTAATATTTGTAAAGCACTTAGCACAGTGCCTGGCACATAGTAGGTGTTTTACAATGAACTGTTACCTATTATTATTATGGGGAAATGACGATGTTTTTAGAATCCCTTGCTCAAAAGACACTGGAAATACACTATAACACAATTCAACGTATACCAAAATTTTGCAAGAAAGACAGATCTTTCTTAGATACTTTTTAAGGGAGTTTAGTTACACAATAAAAGGTCTTCATTACAAAGCAGTCTCATCTAGAAAGTCATGTCATAGTAGAAAAGGCACAAGACTTAGCATCAGAAAATCTCCACTTACTAGCTATGTAACTTTGGGCAATTCATTTATGGGCTTCTGTCCGCCCATGTGTCAAAGGAATAAATGATCTCTGGGTCACCTCCCTATCAGCCCTAACATTCTGTGACAATACTGCTGTGTGGTTTATGCCATGTCCCTCCTCTGAGGGAAGCACAGAACCACACCACAGAAGCATGGAATCTCAGAGGAATAAGAGCCATAGAAATCATCTAATCCAAATACTTCTTTTTATAAACTGAGGAGCAAAATAGCCCATCCAAGCACCCCACAGTGATACAACAGAATAGCCAGGCTTAGAACGTAAGTCTCCTGACTACCAACATCAGGATTCTTTCAAAGACACCACATGACATCCCTATCAGAGGGACAGAAAAATTTCAAAACAAGAGGTCTGACTCTTCTTTCTAGCACAATGCAGCTAATTACCTAATAAATGTCCTCCCGAAGAGAAAAGAAGAGGCAACCTCACCCACTCTCAGCCAGGCACATACTTTAGAGTTGTTATTCCCAGATCAGGGATAGAATCACACTGAACCATCCATATTCTATCATCAGATTCCCCTTGTGGCCAAAATAGGCTCAGGGATTTGAGTCCATAATCGAGACAAGAAACAAAATGAACAGGGAACCCCATGCGAGGATCCCAACGTGCCTTTGTTTGTTGCCTGAGGTTGTGCTACAAATGAGATAAAAATCACTAAGGCCTCAAGCACTGTATTTACCTTATCCTCAAACAGGGCTCTCACTGTGTAACAATTATTCAGTGTAGAAGAAATGTAATTCAAATATCACCAGGAGTGTTTCCAAAAAAGACAAACTGCTGTAAACACCCTGGAAGAAAATAATTCCAACAAAACCAAACTGGCTAGTGGTAGATCATCAGTACCAAAAGTTCTTGGATGGGCCAGCACTGGGGAGAGGACATGTTCCCCCACTTAGGAAGAACAAACAGTACCCTTTAGAAGGCCTTAGTTTACATATCTTGATGTGTTTGATCAAAACTGACTTGACTTCTTCCTTGCCTTTTTCTTTTTTTACCTTGTTATGTAACACGACCAGCTGATATGACTATTACAAATTTTCAATATTTCATTGCCTGCCTCTTTATACGGGTAAGCCAATGCCATTTAAACCTCCCAACATCCATGAAATCATCCAAAGCCTTCATTTTATTGACACAAAGAAAGCAGCTTACTGCTCTTATTACTGAACCTTGCCTATCTAAGCAGAGATTATGCCCCACAAGGTGTTTTTTCTGGCCAAACCAAACAGCTGCCCAATTAATTTCAGTCAGCTGTGCTTGGAAACGCCCAAAGGAGATCAGGTTTCTCACGTGATCGTCCCACCGGGGATAAGCTAGCCACTCTCTCTCCTGCAAAACCAGTGGAAAACAAGGAACTTGCTTAGACTGAATATCAACTTACCTTTCATGTAGGCTTCAATTTTTCGAATAAGTTCATAAGACTTGGATCGATCCAGAAGGGTCCTAATGGCAGGGAGGGGATCCAGGATGATGGTCTCAGGGTGAGCATCAATATATTCCTGAAAGAAAAAATATTTTCATTTGAGAGGAAGCTACGTGGCATAGTGGATAGAATGCTAGATTCAGAGGCAAGAAAATGAGTCATTAATTAGATCAATTTCTTCATTTGTAGAAAGTGGGAAAAACAGCACCTATTTCATAAGGTTGTTGTGAAGAAGAAAGGAGATAATATGTAAAGCTGTGCTTTGCAAACTGTAAACTGCTATATAAATGCTGGTGGTGGTGGTGGTGGTGGTGGTGGTGGTGGTGGTGATGATAATGATGATGATGATGATAAAGTAGTGAGGGATATTTACTGTCAGGAAGTTATAGTTCAGTCAAAGGACTCTTACATTCTCTCCAGTGACAACACAGCAGCATCTCGATTCAACAGATTATTAACTGAGCTTCCATTAATAGCTCTGTAACACTGGGAGGTTTTCAAAGCACTTTCCTCACAACCACACTGTGAAATAAGAGGTGTAAGTCTGATTCCCACTTTACAGATGCAGTTAAGGTGTTCGGAGACATGAAATGACATATCCAAGGTCACATAGCTAGTTTTAAATCCTAATGCCAGTCTAGTCCTCATTCAGCTAATATTGCCTTTTTATGTGCCAAAGACCAAATCAAGTGCTTTCAAAGATCAAGGACGAAGCATGTATTCAGCTCCTACTACGGTTCTAGGCACTGTGCTAGGCACAGGATGCAGGAAAAGTGTGGTATAATCACTGCCCACTTGCAATGCCTTTGGTAGATCATCGTTCTGGAAAAAGAAATCCAAGCAATACTACCATCCCTTCTAAAAATGGTGAGTCACTCCACTGCCTGATGGCTGCACCCACACACCCCATGACTTGCCAGTACAAAATATCCTTAGGTGTTGACTCCTCAATTACATTACTTGAATTGAAAAATGAGAGGCAATGAATAAGAATAATAATCGCCACCACCACTACCACCACCACAATAAAATAATAAAACAACAGCATCAACAACAATAACTAGCATTTATGTAGCTCTTTAAAGTCTACCAAGCACTTACAAATATTATTTTGTACTCACAAGACTGAGAGGCAGGTACTATTAGTATAAGCATTATCATTACATAATTATTCATGTATCTTTGCATGTTAACATAATTAAATATTATACATATAATATATTAATATTGTTGTTCTTCAGCTGTGTCCAATTCTTCCTGACCCCATTTGGGGTTTTCTTGCCAAAGATACTAAGGTGATTTGCCATTTCCTTCTCCAGCTCATTTTACAGATGAGGAAACTGAGACAAACAGGGTTAAGTGAATTAGCCAGGTTCACACAGCTAGTAAATGTATGAGGCCACACTTGAACTCAAGTCTTCCTGACTGAAGACCTAGAACTCTATCCACTGCGCCACCTAACTGTCATATATATTAATATATAGTGTTACAATTCTCTATTAACATTAATAAATAATAGCTGGCATTTATGTAATGCTTACTATGTACCTGGCACTGGGTAAGCACTTTACAATTATTATCTCATTTGAGCCTCACAACAACCCTGGAAGGTAGGTGCTATTATCCCCATTATATGGATCTTAAAATTGCAAACAAAGGGTAAGTGACTTGTCAAAAAGGCCTGCCTGAGGCAGGATTTGAACTCAAGTCTTCCTGACTCCAGGCCCAACCCTCTATCCATTGCACTACCTAGCTGTCTCCACAGAGCATAGATGCCTTACCTCACAAGGAAAGGCTGGGTTCCAAGTTTTGTATCAATTATGTTGATACAATTATGTATCAACTCTGATACATAATGGCCAAGTGAACCTGAGCAAGTCACTTAACCTATGCAATCCCTTGGGCAACTCTCTATTGATTTTAAGTTGCAAACCCATGTACTGATGTATATTGATGGAAGGAGCCTCTCAACTTCCTGCCGTGATCACAGATGCAGAAAAGGGGGGGAGGGGTTGGGGGAAAGTACAGCATTCCCTTGAAGAATCAATCTACTCATCACAAAGGTAAATAAGCCTAGTTTGGCATGACCTAGTCTTGGGACCTTAGCTAACTGGAAATCACCATTTCTTTAAAGTGCTCATATTGTATCTGTTTAATAATCTGTTCTAGTATATGGGCAAGGATGGATGTCAAGCTTACTGGTTTTTAGTTTCCATGATTCACATCTTTGCCCTTTTTGAAAATGGGAATGCTTGCCTATTTCCAGGCTTCTGGCAATGCTCTATTTCTCTAGAGATTCCATGATGACATATCTCCAAAGTACCTTTATTATGTAAAAAATAATTCATCCAGGCCAGGTGACTTTAACACATTTAAAGTCCTTGATACTTTTCAAAGTGGTTTTCACATACATCTAGGTAAATGATTAAACATAGAAAGGGTAGGATAAATCATCCTTATTTTAAGGATAAGTGCACTAAGGCTCAGAGATGGGATGTGTCTTGTCCAAGATCCCATAGCTCTTTCCACAATATGATGATGCCTCCCCTTGAACACAAATGTTCTCATCTGCCAGGTCTCTAATCACAAAGCCAGTGATTTATAACAAGCATATGCTTTCTTTGGTGTCTATTCTATCCTGTCCAGGGTAGTAGGGAGAACAGGATGGATGACAAAAGAAGCAAAATAGAAATCTAATAGTTCTGTTTTCTTGACTTTCTTTTTCTTTTTTTGGCTAGGCAATGGGGTTGAGTGACTTGCCCAGGGTCACACAGCTAGTAAGTGTTATGTATCTGAGGCCCGATTTGAACTCAGGTCCTCTTGAATCCAGAGCCGGTGCTCTATTCACTGCGCCACCTAGCTGCCCCTATTTTCTTGATTTTCATCTCTCAGGAGTACATTATTACCTGACCCAATAAATAGGCCAATCACTTCCTTATTCTTTGTAGTCTGACTATACCTTTAAAAAATGTTTGAAAGTCTTTTGTATGATGTCCTTAGCCTTTTTTTTTTAATAAAACCCAACTCACCTGGTTTGGGTCTTCCCTAACCTGACATTATTTTCAAAGACCTTACCCATTCTGAACAGGGGACACACATTTTCAGAGTTGAAGTCTAGTCATGACCCAGCTCAGCGGTCATGATGTCCCAAAGCCTTGCTTTATATTTCCTAGCTAAAACAGAGCTCCTCCAACTATTTCTCGATCATTCTGCCTCGCTTTTTGTTTTCCATTTATTGACATCTACCTTGAATCCTACTTATGTGTCTATAAGTGAAATGCCCTATATAGTCAGTTCTTTGAGAGAAAAGACTAGGTCATTCTTTCATCTTTGTATTCTCTATAGATGCTTTGCACGTGGAAAAATACATGGTACAGTCACTAAGTACTATTTATGGGAGATCAAGAACAAAGGGAGAGGCGTGGGTTATGGGCACTAAGAGGAGAAGGAGGAGGAGGAGACGGCGACAGCGACGGTGACGACGACCGCCATTTATACAGTTCCAAACACTGTGCCAAACACTTTACAAAAAATATTATCTCATTTTATCCTCACAAAACAACTCTGGAGCTATTATTATCCTCATTTTATGGAAGAGGAAACTGAGGCAAACAGGTTAAGTAATAATAGCTAATATTTATAGAGCACTTACTATGTGCCGGGTACTAAATGCTTTACATGTATTATCTCATTTGATCCTTAAAACCACCTTGGGAGGTAGGTACTGTTATTATCCCCATTTTAGAGATAAAGAAACTGAGGCAAACAGAGGTTCAGTGATTTGCCCAGGGTCACACAACTAGTAAGTATATGAGGCCAGATTTGAACTCAGTTCTTCCTGAATCCAGGCCCAGCACTATCTCCACCACACCACCAAGCTTCCCAACTATTTGAATTTAAGTTTTAACTGCCAGAAGTCTTGGTAAACACCTATGTTATACTTACCTCCTTCTGCTGGCATACTGTATTCAAGCAAACCTGCAGAATACCATGCTGAAAAGTTCCTACACCACAATCTTCCAAACAAAAGGTAATGAGAATCCAAGTAATAAACAATTACCCCAAACCATCACAAGATAGATCACAATTCATCAAGACAGCATTGTTTTTCAATAGATTACATGAAGGGCAGTAATGTCATACAGAGAAGAGTATTTCAATTAGGAACGAGGCCATCCTTATACCCAATACAACCAGGCATTTTCTCGGGCTGTCTCCCACACCTGGAATGTTCTCTCTCTCTCTCTCCATCTCCACCTCCTGGCATCCCTGGCTTCCCTCAATTCTCACCTGAAACCTTACCTTCTGCAAAAAGTCCTTCCCAGAACTCCTTAACTGTAATACCTTCTTTCAGAGACTACCCTCACCTAAATTATCCTGTATAAGTCTCGTTTGTAAATAATTGTTTGCACATTGTCTTCCCCGTGAGACATGAGATCCTTGATAACAAGAGGTGCATTTTGTCTTTTTTTTTCTTTTTTTTGCATACTAAACACTTAGGACAGTGTCTGGCACAAAGCAGCCATTTAATATTGGCTGGCTGCATTCTCTGGTAGTCTAGTGGTTAAAAAACAGGATTTTCCCCACTGTGGTCCAGGCTTATTTCCCAGTCAGAGGTCTTTGAGAAGCATCATGGTATAGTTCAGACATATCAAATGCAAGCCACCCCACTGTGTTGCAGCAAACCACATTAAAATGTAATTGTGAAATAGCTAACAAAATAAAATAAAAATAATAGAAAATGGAAAGAATGAAAAACTATGCATCAGAAAAAACAATAATAAATGGAACAAAATTATAAAGATCAAGCAGGGCTCGAGGGAAAGGGTATGAGGAGCTACTTCCAACCCACACCTTCGTGGAAGCAGGAGGTCCACAAGTATTACACACTGCACATGTTTTTGGACTTTCTGAATGTATGAATCAGTTGTGCTAACTTAAAAATACTAGTCAAAAGAGGTCACCTTCTGGGAAAGGAAGGAGGGGATCAGTGGGATAATTATGGTGATGTAAGAAATAGAAAGCAACCTGTTTCTATTTGAGTTTGACACCATGGGTATAAGTGCATATGGTGCC